TGATTCCAACAGAAGTCGTCCTTATAAGTTTCAATGGAGGAGCAACTGCAGCTAAAGGAGTTATGCCATTGGACATAACTATAGGTACAACTACTAGGACCACAATATTCTTTGTAATAGATGGTCTTACTAATTACAACGTGTTACTAGGAAGAGATTGGATACACGGAAGTCATTGTATACCCTCATCGCTCCATCAATGTCTGATTTTTTGGAATAACAAGGGTGAAGCAGAGGTGGTGCAAGTCGATCATAGGCCTTTTGTAGCAGAAGCAAACTCAGTGGAAAGGTTCATGTACGAAGGAAACTATAGACCTGTCAGGGTAGTCCAAGATGGGGAAGAAACTCAGATTGTCGCACAGAGTGAAGAGCCATTTTCAGTGGACTCACTCACTGAAATGTTCAGTCAGATGAGGCCAAATATAGTGGCCCTAGAAGAGCCAGTAATTAGCAAAAGAATAATCAAGGAGTCCTGAATGAGTTCGAAGCAAAAAAAACAAATGGCCGATATTCAGGCCTTCAAAGCCAAATTAATGGCTTTCAATAAAGAATGCAAGGACGAGACGAAAGAAGAGGCAGCCCTGAAAGCGTTGAAAGACAAATTAGCAGTATTCGAATTGGAACAAAGTATTGGCCGAGAAGTCAACGAGGTGGATTGTTTAGAAGAAGAAGTGCTTACAAGGGAACTGGACGATGAAGTAATGTGGATCATCAAACCTGGATACGCTCAAGTACAAGACCCTCTGATTAAAGTAAATATTGGCAATGAAGGAAAAGATCGTCCAACATTCATCAGCCAGATGCTCGATCAAGAGGTTAGTGATAAATTAGTCACTTTGTTAAAGGAGTATAAAGATTGTTTTGCTTGGGAATATGAACAAATGCATGGTTTAGATAGAGACTTGGTGGAACATAGATTACCAACTAAGCCTAATTTTAAACCTTACGGGCAACCTCCCAAATATTTTGCTCTTAATGTACTCCCTGAGATTAAGAAAAGAGATAGAGCGATTATTAAAAGCAGGCTTTATTAGAACAGCCAGGTATGTCGAATGGTTGTCCAATATCGTGTCAGTACTAAAAAAGAATGGTAAACTAAGGGTGTGCATAAATTTTAGGAATTTAAACATAGCCACACCCAAAGATGAGTATCCAATGCCCACGGTAGATTCTTTAGTAGACTCAACTGCCGGACACGTCATGTATTCTTTCATAGATGGGTATTCAGGATACAATCAAATTTATATAGCTGAGAAAGACATAC